CGGCGGCAAAGAACCAGGGCACAGAGCAAGCGCAGGGAGGGGATGGGCTGCGGCCGTGGGAAATCACCCTCCTCTGGCCACCCTGGTGCCGGAGCCGGGCAGGGCGCGCGCGTGGGGCGCGGGGACCCGCTCGCCCACACACACGGGCACCTTCCAGCTGCGTCCCGTCCTCACGGCCCCGGAGACGGGATGAAAGGGCCCACTGAGCCCAGGCAGCACCAGCACCCGTGAGCAGATCTCAGAGCAAACCCGCAGCAGCCGAGCGCTGGTTTTTGCACTGAGCAGGTGCCCGAGGGCGGCTCTGATCCCTGTGGAGCAGCAGGGATCGCACAGCACCAGGCCGGACACCCGGGAATGCCCGTGCAGCTGTGGCCAAGCCCGGGAACACAAACGGCTGCAGTCCAATCTGTAGGAGCTTTTCAGCCTCCTCCTATCCCCCTGGAGCCTTGAATGCAAAACACGGATCCCGTTCCCTGCAGAGCAGCCTGGGCACTGAGCTGGACTCTCCCTGATGAGGACACCCCAAGTCGTGACAACCATGGAGCATCCAGACCACGAGCAGCAAAACAGCCCGGACCCGTCAGCATGGCAGCCCCAAGGCCACCAACGCGGCTCCATGGCGGCAAGGAGGATCCCAGGCATGGCCAACTGCACGAAGGGGGGTTTGTCTGGAGAAAAGGTCCCTGCACATCCAAGGAGGCACCCAGGACACTACGAAAGTGCCGAAATCTCCCCATTTTCCACCCCGGGCTGCGCTGACCTGTCCCCACCAGCTGCTGAGAGATGTTGCACACGTGGCACCGCCGGCCCTGGGTTCTGCTCTCGCCCTGGACAGAGAGGCAGAAACCCCAGGCAAGGGCTCTGCACAGTGACACCAGAAGCCACTTAATGACTTTGTGGTAGGATGAGTCGGTGAAGGCGGCCAGACCGCGGCAAAGCCCCGTGGGGCCGGGCGCATCCGGAGCATCCTCAGCGCCGGCACCCGGAGCCGGAGGCAAGCGAGGGAAAAACCTCCAGCACACAGAGTTGAGAAAAGCCAGCATAAAGCACTTTTATTGCAATAATAAAACTTGATACCTTTATGCGGTGGAGAGGGAAGTGAAGAGCGGCAATTTCTCTTACCAAATCACTACGCGGGGCAGAGCGGGGGGGAGGGGGCGGCAGCGGGGGAGCAGGCGATGACCAGCATCAGGCGGCGGGCAGAGCGGCCGGGCACGGGCACAGCGGGGATACCGGGCGCTGCCGCCTCCTTCCAAGCAGGGCAGAGCAGGGACCTTTCCTCCTGCGCTCTCCCGCCGCGGCCCCGCGCCTCCCCGGGGGACAGCGCCTTCCTCTTGCCTTTCCTTGGCTCTCCTAGGGAAAGCTCCGAGCGAGTTCTGGAATTCCGAGGGAGTCGCGGAGCTCCGACGGCTAAAGCGAAAACCATCTCCACAAACCCCAACGCAGGCGGGCGCAGGGACCCCGCGAGGCCAAGGGCAGGGAGAGCAAAGGAGGGAGCAGCGGCTTCCTCACGGCCCCGGGAACTCGCACCCGATCCGAGCGCTGCTTTGCTCTCCGCATCCATCCGGCCTCTACAACCTCACTCTGCTATGGCTTTTGCAGCAGCAGCAATTTATGGTTTTAATACACCAGAGAGGTCGGCACCAAAAACAATTAATTAGCAGGTTGCCTTTTGTTCAAACGACTCCTATCTAAGGTCAGGCCACCTGCGTACTACTGGTAAAATGTAGTCTACACCTGGAACAAAAATAAGAGTAAGAATTTGACCCAAAAAAGAGTTGAGGTTTACGGCGTATAGTTTAAAAAGACATAAAAACACGATACAAGGAGGAAGAGTCAGACGCAAAGCTTAGTGACCAAAGGCATTCAATCAAGGTGTAAGGTTATACAATGAGTGTAGTGGAATATCGGGAAAAGCTCCGTACAAAGTCATGTGCATTCTTCTTGAAGCTGAGATTCTGGATTCCTCCATGTGCCAAACCTGCTCGGGAGAGAAGAGAGGCTCCGTGAGGAAGCGGCCGGCCGGGACAGCGGCAGCCCTCGGCATGGAGCGGCCTCGGGAAGCATTTCCATCAGAAACCGCGCGGCGCCCTCAGAGTCAAATTCCAGCCCCAAGGAGGGGGAGGAATTGGCCTTGTGCAGGTCCCCAGTGCTCCCCAACCCCCCCGTGTCCCGAAGGCAGCGGTCCGGCCAGCAGCCCCATCCATCCCACGCACCCCAAGAACCGCCCGCTCCATTGGGGCTCCCCATGGTGGCCCGAGGCCAAGGAGAGGGGCCCTAGGAAACGCCGAGCGCCCGCAGGGGCTTCTCCCTCCTTACCCGAGGGCGGGGGGTCGGGGAAGGTCATTCCAACTTCATGAGCTCCACGTCGAAGATTAGAGTGGCGTTTGGGGGGATGATCCCTGGGTGGCCGGTGGAGCCGTACGCGTAGTCTGGGGAGATGGTCATCTTCGCCCTCTGACCAACGCTCATCTGGGAGCAGGGAGAGACACACACACACGTCAGAGACAGGCGGACACCGGGCGGGAGCAGGGACACGGAGCCGTCCCTGCCATCCCTGCTGAGGGCGCGGGTCCCACGGGCTGCCCGAGGGACAGGAGGGCAACGGGAGGAACACCAGGAGGTTCCTGGAAAAGGAGGAGATCGGCAGGGGAGCAGGGTTGGGAACGTCCTGCACCAGGAGCGCCGGGGCTGCCAGGCCGTGCCCTGGGACCCGTCTCCGTGCGCTCCGGTGCGGAACCGGCGCCGGGCACGCGCAGAGCAGCCCGGCCGCGCGTGGGCTCCCTGCGCTGACTCGGCGCCCAAACGTCCCCGCGGAGTCACCGCCGCGCCGGAGCTGCTGCCGGGGCCCGGCCGGCTCCGTTCTGGCCATCTGGCAGGTGGCGACGCACACGGGGCCGCCGCGGGCACCTGGGCAACTCCTTCCTCCCAGCCGCGGATCACCTCCTGCTTGCCCATCACGAACTTGAAGGGTTTATTCCTGTCGCGGGAGGAGTCGAACTTCTTCCCGTCCTCCAGCATCCCTGCGGAGAGAAG